AGCAGGGCAGAGGCCAAGCCTAGAGCCCAAGGACCAAAGAGAGGTGTGCCTCAAGGCATGGCTGAGAGGAGACTGTCCTGATAGAAGAATTATAACCTGAGTGTTACTGAACCTGAACTGTAACTTGTTACTTCCCTAGTAAACCCCATGTTGTCTGTGAGATCTGTGTGGCCTTTGCAATGAATTATCAAACCTAGCAGAGAAGTAGCGAGTACTGTGGCAGGGACAGTTGCTGTCTGAACTGGTAGAAAAGTTGGAGAGTGGCAACATGTCTGGCTTCACAGGAATAAGGCTTGGGCTGCTGATGGTGATTTTCTCTCCCCCTTGTGAATTTAAAGGAGGTCAAAGGAGAATGCCACCCCCATGCCCTTTTTGCAAGGCTATAGATTAGTTGAAACACGTTGTCAAATCAAGAGAAGTGACTGATTCTCTTTTGGGTTAAAAATTGACGTTAGTCATTTCTCTTATGTGTTTGCCTAATATTGGACAACAAATGCATGATATTATGTCATAATTTTAGTTGTTTTAAATGTTAACTTGGTTCCAACTTTGTTTTTATTTGTTTTATTTTTATTTTGTTTTTTGAAAGCAGCATTAAAACCAGCTGGTTTAACTGGAAGAATTACTCCACCAACCCAGCTTAATTCAGATGTTTAGAGACTTAATAGTCTTTTTATATAGTATGAGGTGTCATGATTATTATGTGTTATATTTAAAGCTCTTTGAAAGTAAGATAAATTATAATCATTATGTTTAGAGATATTCTTGTCTAACATTTCTTTTGATTTTAAGTTTACTTTATTTGGCTTTTATTTAGTTTTACATTGGTTCTATAAATGATTTCCCATCAGGTCTTCACTTTTAAAAAATATTATGAATTGACCATGCCATATTAAGTTTTGTCACCTACAGAGAAGCCTTTGCTTTGTTGACTTGTTGAAATGCTTGACCAAAATATTCCAACAGAAGGATGGACTACATTGTACGTTATGAAAAACTGAAACTCACTGCCACTGAGTTGATTCCAATTCACAACAACCCCCATTGGGTTTCCAAAGGCTGTAAATATTTATGGAAGTAGATCACCCCATCTTCCTTCCATGGAGCAGCTGATGGGTTTGAACCACTGACCTTCTGGTTAACAGCCAGATGTCTTATCCACCATGCCACCAGAGCTCCAGGACTTTACGAAAAGGGGACTGTAATATTTTGAACATGCACACTACTAGATTGAATCAAGATTTCCATAACTCTGGTATCGATGGTGATAGATTCACAGGTTGCAGCTGATACAAAAATTGGGAGAAACTATTTTGTATTTTAATAGATGAATGTTTCTGTTTTTATATCGTTGTTGTTGTTTTTATGTGCCATCGAGTCAGACCTGACTCATAACAACCCCTCCTTGGGTTTCCGAGGCGGTATCACTATGGAAGTAGATTGTCCAACCTTCCTTCTGACGAGTGGCTGGTGGGTTTGAAACTTCAGCCTTCTGGTTAGCAGTCACATGCCGTAGGCACTACGCTAGTGTATATTAACACCTCAAGCAACTAGTTTCCTTGGCACAAAGACCTTAGGGTTTTGGTTTTATGGGTTAGATCAGTTGATGTTTCTAGATTTCTGGCTTTCATGTTGGGGTAGCCCATACAGACCATTGCTCTTAGGTGTCCATTTGAGCCATGAGCTTTGGAAAAGCCATTTCTGAGTCAAACAATGGTCCAGATAAAGTGGAAAGATCATTTTGCTCTAAGCATTATGATCATTTGAAGAATTCAGTCTGTTTAGAGGAACAGACACAAAAATAAGTCAGACTGGGCATTTGTTTGTTGTTGTTATGTGCCATTGAGTCAGACCCGACTCATAGTGACCCCTCCTTGGGTTGCCAAGGCAGTATCACTACAGAAGTAGACTGCCCACCTTCCTTCCGAGGAGTGGCTGGTGGGTTTGAACCACCAGCCTTCTGGTTAGCAGACAAGTGGTTTAGGTTAAATCGGTAATTATTTTAATTGATCTTTGAGATGGAGACAAGTAGGGAATTGGGCTGGATGAATCAAGCAGCCTCTGACTCATTATTCTTGCTGCTGGCAAAAGAGAATTACTTATGATTAACAAACCAGGACCTTAGGCAAGATAGAGTTACATTTCAAAAGCTCCACAAGCTTGACCAGTTGTAAAATGCTAATGAACCTCCTGAGTTGTCTTTCAAGTACCTTATCAGGTGAAGAGCATCCACAGTAAAACTCAATTTGACCAACAAAGTGGCCTTCCACCAGAGGCAGTCAAGAACAGCAGTTCCTGGCCAGGACTTGAACCAGGGTCCAGAGACATAACATATGTGCAATGTCCCAGAAAAAGTCATGACAAGCATGCCAGCAGCCTTCCTGATGAGTTTCATCTTTATTCCAGCAGGCTTTAGGGTGGAATCCATCTTGGCTATTTCCTGTGTGCACATCTGATTTTCATAATCCCATCCTCTTCTTGGAAAGCCCTGCCCATTTTATGAATAAAGATTATGCCTTTTTCCCACCTAAAATCCTTTATAAACCTTAAGAATTCCTTTATTTGGGGAAAGGCTGAAGGCTAGTGTAGGCAAAAGCCCCTCTATGTCTCTCCCTCACAAGCCCCTCCCCTCTCCTTTCCCATTAATAAACTTTGATTTGTGTGGACACTTTGCCTCTTCTGTTCAATTCTTTATCAGTAGAAGGCAAGGACCCCTGATCAGGGTCCCAGGAATGCCTGCAACAAGACAACATTATATGAAATGCTTGTAATCAAACTGCCACCCTTCCTTGTTATACAGAGTAAATGTATTGAAGAAACTAGGTCCTCAGATGATATTGACCTCACCTTGGGTCAACCTTTTTGGGAAACCCAATTTTACCTTCAATGTCAGTTTGCCCTGCACTTTCCCTAATTTAAAATCACAGAAGCAAAGTGTTGAAGCAGTAAAAGACACTCTTATGATGGTGATCAAAGACTTTCTACAGAAATTCATGATCAGAAAAGAGAACATTATGAGGGCACTCCAAAACCTTAGGAACACTTCAAAAAGAACATTTAGCCTAACTTAAATGGCTCACACAGATTTGGCTCAGGCCCCATTTTGTCTTAGGCTCCACTTCTGTTTCTGAGAAGGTAACCCATGAGTGTAGTGCCTAAGGCACTTGACTGCTAACCAGAAGGCTGGCGGCTCAAACCCACCAGCCACTCTTAGGAAGGAAGGTTGGGCAATCTACTTCCATAGTGATACTGCCTCGGAAGCCCAAGGAGGGGTCGCTATGCTCGACAGCACATAGCAACAACAACAACAACCCATGACTTGATTTAAAAAAAGAAGAAAATTCACTGCCATCTAGTCACTTCTAACTCACAGTAACCCCTCCTGAGTTTCCGAGGTGGTATTGTTGGGCCCGGGTTATGAAGGAGTTGTTCGGCGCGAGGAATTTGCCAACACACGACAATGCAAGTGCAAGAAGGAGAGTTTATTAGCTAGTTCAAGCTAGGGTCCCTGCTCTCACCGACATAGCGGGTTGAGCAAAAGACCTCGTGCTCTTTTACTATCACATTTTTATAGGAAAATATAGGGTGGAGTAGCACCAGGGCTCGGGGTACAGATGATTGGTTGTTGCTAAGGGGTTTAGGGCAGGGGTCTGAGATGTTGGGGGACATGTTGGAATCCCCCAGCTCCAAAGTCTACTTAGGGAATTATTATCTAGGGAGGATGCAGAGCCCTGATACGTGGGAGACTTCAGGAGCCAGGCAAATCTCTGATACATGCTGAATCCGGAGGAAATCTCTGATATGTGCTGAATCCGGAGTGTAGATAGAAGCCCTGAGGCATGGGGAGTGTTAGAACCCCAGACACTAAAGACTTCTGGTTAAAGATTTACCTGGAGGCCATTAGGACTCAGGCCTCACATTTCCCCCTTTTTTTGTTATGCATATGAGGAATCTTCCTCCTGTATTGCAGGAGATAAAGACTGATATTGTTGCTTCAGGACCATGAGTTGTACAGTATTAACTCGATCTTTCACAAAGTTGACTAATCTGTTTAAAACACAAGGACTAACTGTCAGTAAAACTAGTTCCATAATGACTGGTTCTGTGAGAGCAGACAACAGAGATGTTAGCTAAGGAGGAGAATTAAACTAATTTTTATGCTATCTTTGGTTTCGGACACATTTTCTTTCGGGGGCATGTGTCTCTTTCAGCAGTTAGTGTCCTTTAAGTAGCAGTCAGAGAGAGTTCTGCTCCTAGGAGGCTTCTTTTTGAGCTCAGAAGGGTGGTCAAACTAGTTAATTACAGCATCAGAACTCTAAGCACCTGAGAGAGTAGGCACTTCCCAGAACATTGTTTTGCGCTACTCCTAACAGAAATTTTCTCCAGGCGGACAATTTTAGCAATCAGGAGTTCCTCAGTTGCTCACAGAAAATTTCACTTTGGAGTTTATAAAGACTTATGGGTGGCAAAGTTACACTAAGTAATTTACTACACTGCAGGCTACCCCCTGCCTGACTTTTCTAGTTATTATTTTTTTTATATTTCAAAAATTCACATCTCTTTCACCATCAGTTTAAGAATAACGACACCTATGGAAATGTGTAAGTCAGCTACTTCATGCTTTTATCTCCCCCCATTTTAAATAGCTAATTTCTAATTTTCCCATTCTTATCAGACCAGTACTCTGAGGAAGCGTGATCCTTTCTCTCTGGAGAATCTTCTGTTCTGCTTGGAAACTTCAGGCATGTGGATCCATAAACAAGCAAAGTCCAGTTCAGCATAAGTTATTAAATTGCAGCAACTTAACACCATCTGTGTCAATCATCTTATTCTCTGTTTGGTCAAGTTCCGGTCAGCTCAGCTCTAGCTATCCCAGCTAGGTCATGGGTACTAGCTGCCAAGTTTGGGAGTTACATTCTTCCCTTCACTTCAGACCAGCTAACACCTTCTGTCACATCTTCAGTCTTCAGGGAGTATTTCAATGCTCGAAGGTTCACAGTTCATTGTACTTCAGACCAGCTAGCTCTTCCTTTTATCTCTAGCTCCTGGCTTTCCCCGCCTAGGTAGGGCAGGTCCAGCTGGGTGAAGTGCACAAAGTGCTGGTTTAACTTGATGAACTTGAGGTGTTGGTCAAAGAACTGCTCATGGCTGACACCCTTGCGGCCAAAGGTTATCGTTCTTGAGATTTCAGGCTGCACACAGGCCCGTCCCTGTCGTTGCTCTGGCTTGCATATCCAATCATCCCAGAAGGCCTTGGGCCACTTGGGCTCTAATTCAGCCCAGAGCTTAGCTAAGAGTAGCCAGCCCAGGCCAGGGAAAAAGTCCGTGCAGTAGAGAAGTTCAGGTTTGTTAGAGTCCACCATCTGTTCTTTGCTATTGTTATTCTAGGTAGATACATACCAGAGTGAGGGGTTAGTTCTCAGCATTGGGTAGGTGGTCTGAAAGTACTCAAAGAAATCTGGTGCTACCTCCAGATTATCTTCGATGACCACAGCTGCTGAGAATTTGAACCTGTGGAAGATTTGGCCCAGAGTCCAGTGGTAATGCTGCGTAATTTTATAATAGCTCTGGAATTTGTGGTGGTCGGGCAGCACAGCAACGTTGCTCAGGTCAGGTTGCCAGATGTGCGTGATGGCGCTGCTATAGGAGGCAATGACCTGGGCTGTCTCCTCATGCCCACAGTCCTGGTTGACAATGATGGGGTACAGGCACATGTGGTGGGGCAGGGGGGCCCGCAGTGGGCACTTTCAACCACTGCTTTCACTGAGCATGGTGCTCCCTAACCTGCTGCATCAATCCCCGCTGACGTTCCAACTCCACTTCAGCATCCTGGGCTAGGCGGATCACCTCACCGGTGAGGCTGGCGGGGTCGTCATCAAGAGAACTGCCTGAGGGAGGCCTGCCAGGTGCTGGGGGTGTCCAGAAGAAGAGAAGGAGCAGGGCATTCCAGGCCACAAAGAGGATAGTGCTCCACAGCATAATTCCTACAGACTGCTTCTTCAGCATCCTGGTCTTAGGTCAAAGAGTACTAAATTCAGCTCGTTTTTTTTTTTGCTACACTTCCCCCATTTCCACTCAGGTGGATCTAGGTGGTTACAAGCAAGTAACATACAAGTTTACTGGCTTCCTTTAACTTTCAGTTCTGGGAGGGGTTTTTCTCATGGACCATGACTTTTCTGCTTTCATGGACCCAAAGCTTATCTGCTTGCTTGAAATGCAAAAAGTTAAACAGTCATTTTTTTTTTTTTCTTCGGGTCTTCTCTTCACATGTAAATCTTCCCTTCCCTCAGCAGTACTGGGTGGGGCTCAGGTTTTCTACTTAAGTTTCTATATGGGTTCTTGTTGTTGTTGTTGTTATGTGCCTTCGAGTCAGCCCTGACTCATAGCGACCCCTCCTTGGGTTTCCGAGGCAGTATCACTACGGAA